ACACAACTTAACATGATTCTAAATCAAAAAGAAAGCAATGAAACAAGTAAAGCAAGGAAATTTATTGAAGAAAACACAAATAAGAACAATAAATCAAAAGACTGGAGAATAAGGAAAAGAGATTACTATTATAAATATTGAGGGATTAGCCAAACATGAAATAGTTGCAATAATCTTGAAGAAAACTTGAATATCTTGATTACCAAGATTGAAACATGAAGACTGCCTATTTTCTCTCTCTAAAAGATAATCATATTCTCTCTCTACAAAGTATTTTTGATTTTAATGGAATAGTAGATACATGAAGATTTAAGCCAGAGACTATTTACAGTCTCTTGTTAAAACAAGGTAAACAGGCATGGGAGAGGCCTCTCCATTCAAGCTGACGCGCCCTCTCCTTCGTGGGTAAGAAGTTGGGAAAACCTAGCTCGCCTCACCCGCGACCTTAAATGTTGCACCTGCGGCCCTATGAGCCGCGCCCTCTCAAGGCCATCTCCAGAAACTGCTATGTAGCTCAGGATGCACCTGTCCGTGCCCGAGGCTACTTGTAGCAGTGCGCTCTCTCCTTTGTAGCATTTCCTCTTCCTTAAGCAAGCTACCTTAGCAACTCCAACTTCGTTTAGCAATCCAAAATTCTCCCACGAGGGCTAGGAGTTAATAAAGCACACGAATAGAAGGTAAAAATTAGAAGAAATGATAATAGAGAAGGAAAAACACGAGAGGGAGCTAAAGTAATTAAAATAAAGGTAAAAACGGTAAGAAGAGGTATAAAAAAGTGACAAATCCGGGGAATTCTCTAGTTAAAAAGGGTGAAATGGTGGCATAAATGCCACCCATCAGCTGCCAATTGTGGCGGCGTGTGATTGTCGTATTCTCTACGCGATATGACTCGGCGAGTTGGAACTCGGTGAAGTCGTTGGGAGGTGAGTTGGTGGGGGTTTCGGAAGGGGGAGATGTGGTGGAAGTCGGTGGTGAGGTGGTTAGAGAGGGTGCCAGAGAAGATGGTGGGGAAGGGTGATGGAAGAGAGAGTAGAGGGGAAGAGAGAGAAGAGGAGAAGAGAGGCGGGTTGGGGGGAAGTTGGGATTGAGGGTAATTTTTGGGTTTAACATTTTTTATATGGGTGATTTTTTCGGATATCGGACCGATATCTGATATCCAAAAAAAAAATTGGATACCCGTTATCCGAAAAATCCGGATCGGATATCCATAAATTTCGTATCGAATGAGGATCGGATCTTCAGATAGTTTTGCTCAGCCCTACTCCCAACAACACCATTTTTTTCAAACCAATGCCCTATAAGATGCTAGCGTACGTAGCGGGGATGTCACTCCCTCGATTAACTACCCATACGTGCCGGTCAAACAAGGGCCCGTGCCATCTTGGGGGGGGGGGTGACAACAAACCTATGTACCCCAATGTGCCAAGGCTCGAATTTCCCGATGAGTCCTGTCATTATGACTACCGGGTTTCGGGTGAGAGTGATTATCGGGGTGACCCTAACTACCCCTACGTTTATCCCTCTCACCCTTTGCCTCTAGCTCATCCTAAGCCATTTGACCAGTTATCCGCATCCCAACTAGATATTTTTAAGGGTCATTACGGGTGGCCTCCTGGTTATACCAGAGGCTGGGATCCCCATGGTTACGGGTGGCCTCCTAGGTGTTGTTGTTGATAAGCTTTTTAGTAGCATTGTTTTTATTTGTTGTTGGTTAATGATGTCTTGATGATGATGATTCGAGAATGAGTAAGGTTGGATAGTTGGTTATGCCCAAGAATTTGAGTTGATAAATCTTTCTTTCTTTTTCTTTCTAACATTCTTCTTTGTATTGTGTTGGTTTTGCTTTTATCTCTCTCTTTTGTAGCTTTGAAGAAAATTGGAAACAACTTTTGGAGCCATGTAAATTGTAAGGTTGCTCTATTATTCTTCAAGAGACATATGGGTGAGATGTTTTCTCTATTTTCTCTTTTCTTTCTTTTGGCGTGCTTAGTTTAGTATTCGTATAGGATAAAGTTGAATAGTTCGAGGTTGTTTGTATTTGGTTCTAAGGAACATGGGATAGTTGGTGTTGATAGCGAACGATCATTGTATGTCGATTGGGTTTTATTCTGATTTATGTGCCTCATTTGCGAACCTTTTTTATTTCTTCCTCCTTCTCTTGTTTAGTTTTCATTTTTGTGTGAAAAATATGATTATGGCAAGATGATATGAATGTGTTTTGGAATTTGCTTGTACATGTGGACTCTATTTCCTTGATTATGCGCCTTAGAATGTTTGTTTCATCTTAACTTTATGATGAGATGCACGGTTTGAGATTGCCTTTGGTTAAATTAAACGAACCTTAGCTAAGGTAGCAAGGTTAAGAACTTTTGAGGACATTTGAACCCTTAGTTCATGGGCAGTGGTAAGATGGAGTTGCTTCTTGTAGTGGATTTAAAGCCCTTTAGTTGGCATTTGCTTACCTTTTTCATCCCTTGTGAGGCTTATTTTGTTCAAGCCTACATCAATTTGTTGTGCGGCATTTTAGGATCCTCAATTATGTGTGTCTTAATCCTTGTGTTGATTTCTAGCTCCTGAGATCGTGACATAACACTTTTAGGGGAGGAAAAGGGCACCTTTTCTCATTTTCATTTATATTTTCTTTTGTTTAGTTACAAATTATTTTTTTTATTATTATTTTATTTTTCTTGGTAAATACCAATATTATTACCAAAAGGAGCTGAAAAAAAGCAAAAAGTGAGGTACAAGAACAAAGAGGCCAACACCTAACAATACAAAGCTCAAAGAACAAAGAAACTGGCCAAGGCTTAGGACTACCAGCCCACCTTCTAGGAAGGGTTTCTAAGGTCCTAGAGCCAAGACAGGCCCATCTAAACTCAGAGGTTAAAAGCTACCCTCTAGGAGGGTCACTTAGAACCAAAGGAACAGGACAACAAAAGCTGGGAAAAAGCCACTCAACAACTGAACAAAGTCTACCAATAAGTAACCAAAATAGACTCTAACAAACAATCTAAACAACGATCTACGAGCACCCAGCAGAAACTAGGTGACCATAGTGATCAGGGTTTTTCTGTCAGCTTCACTACATCTGCAAGAAATCCTGTAAACCACAGATCTGAAAACAGTTGCAGCAGGTTCACAATTGCCATTGAACATAGTGTTGTTCCTCTGGATCCATATGTTCTAAACAGTTTTTGCCAGAAATATCAAGTGTAATCTAGCATTCAAACTTGACCTTCTACCTCTCTTCATAGCCCATTCCATTTCCTGGTTGAAACCTTGAATAGACTTGTGACACTTGAGAAGATACATGACCTTCTCCCAAATTCTTCTAGAATAGTTGCAAAGAAAGAAAAGATGGTGAACATTTTCATTTTCATGTAAACACAATAAACAGATAGGGTCACAAGTAGGATTCCATTTAAGAACTCTATCTTTAGCAAGCAATCTGTTCCAAACAGCAAGCCATAGAATGAAAATACTCCTTAGAGAAGCACCATTATTGCAAATAAGCCTTTTCTAAGGAACCTTTGGACTCTATTGTCTGAGACTTTTATAAATGAGCTGGATCTAAACCCTTTTATTATTCATTACAAAATCCCATCCTCCAATATCATCAATTAATTTCCTGTATTTCATGATTTTCCTGAGCACCCAAGAACTTTTCTTTGGAATATCACCTTCCCAGAATCTGACTGTATTGAAATAGTAGATATGAACCCACTTGACACAAAGTGAATCAGTTTTGTGAGCTATATCTCATAAAATCATACAAATATCAGATGTGTTCCAATCATGAAAGGAAATAATATTCCAGCCCCCACATAATTTAGGCAAGCAAACAGTGTTCCAAGCAATGAGAGCTTTCTTTGAGGGATTAGCATTACCAGTCCACAAGAAAGCTTTAAATCTAGTTCAATCTCCTTCATAATCTTTTTAGGTAATATAAAAATTTGAGCCCAATATGTTTGAATCCCAAAAATAACACTCTTTATAAGCTGTAATCTACTACCATAAGAAAGGAATTTTGAAGCCCACCCCTTTATTCTGCTAGTTATCTTGTTAACCAGGGGCTTGCATTGTTGAATAGTTAACTTCTTAGAAGAAAGAGGCACCCCAAGATACTTGAAAGGAATAGAGCCTGCAACCATACCCAAGCTTCTAAGAAGAGCTTCCTGTAAATCTATGTCAATACCTCCAAAATACACCTCACTCTTAAGCAGATTAGCCTCAAGGCCAGAAGCTGTAGAAAATTTCTGAAAAGCCTTAAACATGAGCTTAACGGAACACTCATCAGCTCTAGTAAACCACAACAGGTCATTAGCAAACATTAGGTGAGTGATAAGCAGCCTCTCACATCTAGGATGAAAATTAAAATCAGGCATCTTAGCAAGCTCATGCAAGAATCTAGATAAATACTCCATTCCTATAGCAAACAGAAAAAGGAGACATAGGGTCACCTTGCCTTAATCCTTTCTGTGCTTTAAAAGGAGCTAAAGGAGAGTAATTTATCAAGATGGAGAAGGACACAGTAGATATGCACTTCATAATCCAGTTGACAAAAATAGTGGGAAAGCCAAGCTCATACATTACAGCCTTAAGAAAGCTCCATGCAATGGAGTCATAAGCTTTTTTCAGATCAACATTAATCATACATCTAGGAGTAATGTGCTTGTGATTATAACCCTTGATTAGCTCAGTGGCTAATAAGATAATATCCCCAATGTGCTTACCAGGAATGAACCCATCCTGAGCTTCATCAACAATACCTCCAACAACTTAAGCAAGCTTAGCAGTCAAGATCTTAGAAATAATCTTATAAAGACCAGTGCAGCAAGCAATAGGTCTAAAATCCTTCACAAAAGAGGGATTCTGGATTTTAGAGACCAGGGTCAAGGTTGTACAGTTCCACTAAGTATTGAAGGTGCAAGTAGCAAAGAAATCATGGACAGCTTCATAGATCTCAAGTTTAACAATGTCCCATGTATGTTTGAAAAATTTTAAGTGAACCCATCAGTTCCAAGTGCTTTATCATCAGAGATACTTTTGATTGCACAGTCAATCTTAGAGTTGGTCACAGGACTAATATGCAAATTCTGAGCTTCTGTACAGAGTTGTTTCCCTGCTCTCATTGTATTCAAGTCAATAGCATCTAGGGCAGGAGATCTCGAACCCAGAATAAGCTTATAAAAAGACACAATCTCTTTCTCTAGGTCACCACGGGTTTTAAGAAGAACATGATGCTCAGTCAAGAGAGAATCAATTCTGTTCCTGGCTTGTCTCTGTTTCATCGTGGAGAAGAAATACTTGGTGTTAGAGTCGCCAAGTTTAACCCATTGCACCCTAGCTTTCTTTCTGTAAATACTCTCCTGCACAGATCTCCAATATTTGAGCTGCTCGATAGCTGTAGCCTCCTGGACCAGCAAGTCAGAGAGATGAGGATCAAGAGCTGTTTGACTTTGAATATCCAAAACATCCTACTGAGTTAAGTCAACTTTCATTTCAACATTACCATAAACTTTGGTATTAAGATCTTTAAGCTTAACCTTCAAGTTCTTACACTTTTTCCAAATTCTACTCATAGAATTTCCCTGAGATCCTGCACTCCAAATTTCAGCCACAATATTCATGAAATCAGGATGAGTAAGCATATGATTCAGAAATCTAATGGGCTTTCCCTTACTAGGAGCAGGAGGGAGAACCTCATACATCAGAGGGGCATGATCAGATAATGAGGGAGGAAGATAAACAACTTTAACATTTGAAAATTGAAGGAGCCACTCAAAGTTGACCAGACCCCTGTTTATTCTAGTTTGAGTTCTAGGGCCTGAATGAGCCTTATTAGACTAAGAGAAATATGAGCCTTTAATCTTGATCTCAGTAAAGCTCTTTTTTTCAATAAAATCTTTGAAGTCTCTAACTTCATAATCTGTGACCTCATTTCCATTAACTCTATTTTCAGGATACAAGACAGAATTAAAATCACCAGTGCAAATCCAAGGCATGGACACAGATCCAATAGCTTTAATACCTCTTCAAAGCTCTTTCTTCCTATCATGGATATTATGTAACCCATAGACAAAACAGAAAGTAATCTGATTACTATAATCAAGAGTACTAACAATACAATGAATGAATTGAGCATGAACAGTAAGAACATCAATATGTACTCTATCATTCTTCCACCCTAGCCTAATTCTACCTTTTCTAGACTCAGAATAGTTGCAAACCCAGATCAGGCCATGAGCAATCTTCTTCTGAATTCCAGCACACTTCATCTGTTTTACTCTAGTTTCAAGCAAGCAGATTAAATCAGAACTAGTTCTATCAAGGAGCTGCTTAACATCAGCCTTTTTAGAAGGATCATTAAGACCCCTGATATTCCAAACAGTGATGATCATTGAATTGGAGGGGGCCCACCCCCGCTAGGTTTAGGTCTCAAATCAGCATCATTAGATTGATCAACAGGTAGCATATCAAACTTATTTGTAGTAAGGACAGGATTAGAAGACAAAGCATGTTCCTTACCTTTCTTTTTCATGGTTCCCCAAGCTCCTGATACTTTGGTTTCAGGGCCTTGTTTCTGTTTTTGAACCCAAACCTTCTTCTGAGCTTAGATTGTAGGAGCAGGCTGATTATGATTTGTTTAAAGCTCATCACAATTGTGTCCTGCCTTATTGCATTTTACACAGAAGGGAGGGGTCCACTCATATATCACCTTTAGTTCCACTATCTCTCCTTTAGAACTTTCCACCCAAACAGACTTCACTAGAGGTTTTGTGATGTCTATTTTAATAAGTAACCTAGCATAAGATACTCTTAGATACCTTGATGTGAACTCATCAACACATATTGGAACACTAAGGGTGCTACCAATTTGACTCAAAGTTTCAGCACCCGAACAATTCAGAGGAAGGTTAGGCAATTTAACCCATAGTGGAATAGTGCATAAAATTTCAGCACTGAAATCAAATTTTTTCAGACCAGGGTTTGAAAATAATAGGCTTTCCATAAAGCATATGAGGGCTTTCACACATGACAGAATTCAGATTATCTAAGGAACGCAGATTGATTATGAAGTATCCCTCATCATGCCAATAAACATCAGGATTGTTAGCAATTCCCCATTCATTAGCAATGAAGCGCTTAATGGCTGCAATTGTAGGGTAATACCCAACAACATATAGAACTATTGCATGAATCCACTTCCTATTTCCATCCTCAATTTCATCACTAGGAAAAACAACAATTAACTTAACATCTTTACTTTACGGAGGCACAAAGTTTAGAGCAAACCCTTTTGTAGTCAATTTCCACTAAAACCTCTATCACCAGGCACTTCTCTGTCAACATCTTTAAGCATAACTTCATTAGTGACAGGAGGTTGTGGATTTTATAATACAGGTCCAGCAACTGGCACATCAGGAGAACTTGAGGCTTGATCAGGCAATGGAACAGTAATCGGGGAAGTTACTGTTCCATTAGATTTAGGGCAGACAGAGCCAAAACTAAGAGCCAAGAGCTCAGCATCTCTTCTACTAATCATTCCTGCAGAGGGATGAACAAGGTCAGGAGTAGGAGTGACAAGTTCATCTCCTTCATCAAACACCTCATGACTCAGTGACATTTTTTGTGATCTTAGAGGGACCAGGGGTAGATTACTTCTTTTTTCGAGCCATAACAACATATTTAGGGACTAAACCAGCCAAATCAGGCCACCATGGACACAAATCAAAGCTTTCTCTCTCTAGGGTTTTTATGAATGTGTTTGACTGATTTTTTATTTTGCATCAACCTATTTGCTAACCAATTTGAGCTTAATGTTTCCCATTCTTTACTTAACCGCATTACAAGCCTAACGACCTATGTTTTACTAAGCCTTTTAGTTGGTGAAGAATTTGGTATGTGAGGGTAATGTTGTTAGCATAGTGAATATGAGCAAGAATTATGTTGAGAATTGGTTTTAAGCAAAGAGTTGAAAGTTGAGCTTGAATATGAACATGCAAGAAAAGCTTGAAAAGAAATATTTGATGTAAGAAGATCAAATGAAGTTTAAAAAAACATATAAAAAAAATAAAAAATTAAGAGCTTTGAAGTTCCTTTCCCTTGAATAAGGGTGGTAATGTAATGAAATCGAAATAATGGTTGTTTGTTTGGGTTGTGGTCGTTTCTTGAGTTTTGTTTATGAGAGTTGGCCATTCTCTTGCTTCACTTAGGATTTTCCACCACTATTTCAAATGATCTCCCTACCTTTACCTTTAGCCAAGTCATTACAACCCTAGTTAAGACCCTTAGACTTTAGAGGGGCGTGGTCAAAAACCGGTAGAGTGAGATGGTTTTCAACCCTATGGAGAGAGCATGCATAGTTGAGATGTCTAGATAACTTTATACCTCCTCAAAATGAATTTTTTTCCGATTCCTTCGTGGAATCATTAGGAGCCAACTAAGGGGATGATTTGAAGCTAGTGGGGAGAACGCGGACCGTTTTAGAGGGGACTAGGGCGGAGAATGAATCACTAGTTCTCTATGCTTCGCTTAGGCTTGACTATTGCAACCATTGGCATCTTGGGGCGTGTTTACAACATTCAATTAAGAAAGGCTAGTATTCATTGGCGTTTGTCTATCCTTTTGAGTCCGAATAGAGCATTTGTCCACCCTAAAACTTTATTTGCTTTTTAAGCCTTCCCATGTCGTGTTTGTCTTTGTAGTGTTTGCTTTGTCTTTCTTTTCCTAGTTTTGCTTGAGAACAAGCAAGAGGAAAGTGTGAGGGATTTTGATGAGTGGCGTTTACGCCACCATTTCACCCTTTTTCACTAGTGAATTCCCCTTATTTGTCACTTGTTTGTACCTCTTCTTACCGTTTTTTCCTTTGTTTTAGTTACTCTCGTTCTTTCTCGTGTTTTTCCTTCTCTTTTATGTTTCCTTTTTCTTGCCCAAGTCGGTCGAACGTAACAACGTAGTAGCTCACTTTGATGCCGAGAGTTTTTCCATAGCTTTGTCTAGAAAAGATAAATCGGGGTTAGTTTGACGCAAAAATAAATCATGTTTACAAGACACTTGAACAAGCGGTCAACTACCTCTCGGCATTTCTTCACTAAGGCCATAGGCGGCCAAATATGTCCTATCATAAAACCAGTTATACTTGGGAATATAATTTTGGGGAACGAACTCCCTAGCCCAAGTCTCAGGGTTCGCCTAAATATCTACTTTGAAGAGTCCCCTGTCAAGGATCTCTTCCTTTGCTTTGCGAGGAACAGGCGACAGCTCCGAACCGCCTGCAAGGAAAGGTGGGTTCCTGTTCCACCTGTTATATTTTTGGTTCCTGCCTTTGTAAGGGTAAAAGATGATGTAGAAGGTGTTTCTCCAATCCTTCCACTTGCTCTCCTTCCCCAAAGTCATCATAGAGCCCTTATGGCTAGACAATTGAAACCAGTCGGTCCCGCTTGCTTTTGGGGTCCGGCTTAGGTAATGCATGTGGGTGAATGCTTCGAAGTTGGGCTCTACTTGATGCATTTTGCAGTCGGCAACATAGCCCAATATATTGAACCATAAGTTTGGGGCCAATTGCCAAACACCCAGCTGGTATCCGTCCAATATTCGCTCCACATCCGGATGAAAAGGAAATCTAAGGCTATCTTTAATAGCCGCCTCATAGCATGCAGCCAAAACACTCATCCCCATAGTTGTACCCCTCTTGCCACACTATGGTGTCCTCAGCATCCGGCACACATAGAATGTAACCATGTCCCATGACATGGTGTGCTCTGAAGCTCCCTATTTTATCGGCCATCTTCTTCCGATGGTAGTAGGCGGAAAATTGCTCTCGGCGGGTAGCAGACGGCTCCACCCAATCTTCTCCCAATTCATCTAAGAGGGACTCTCTCGCGACCCCTAGCCGAGAGTGCCTGTCCTAAGATTCATCTGAGAATTTGCTAGTGGTACTTGGCTCATATTTGCTGTCTGAGCTCTAGGTCCTGGTGTCCGCCTGGTGGGCCAGTTCAACAAAAGCTGGCATATCATTTTGAACCTCCTCCCCTGATTCATCCAAAATGGAATCACTAGGAGTTCTTGGGGCACCAGGCGGCACATCAGACAATTCGTTGACAAGCGCATAGAAGGAAGAACCATCTGAATTTGTCACCCTTGCAATTCTCTTAGTTCTGGCCATGGTTTCCTGCACAGACACATAGACAGTCGAACTTGGGGCAGTTCGCAAAGGGTGATCCAGCAAGGGGCAGTTGGCACTCCTTGTTCTAGATTTTGTTGTCCCCGATGACCGGCTGATCACTAACCTAGGCCGTGCCGTGTGCTTTAAGGAAATCATTTTCAAAAGAAAAAACATAGAAAGTACGAAAAAAGAAAATGAAACAGGTGGTTACCATTAGTTGGTGAAGATGAAGGCGCTTGAAAATTTACAGCGGCTGTAAGAGCAGGCGGTTTGGTGCAGTCGGAAGTTCTCTCTCAGAAAAAGACAAAGTTCTCTAGAATTTTTGGAAATGTCCAAACAAATGATTTGGACATCCCCTATTTATAGGGGGTGAATTCCAAGAGACAGTAAAAAAAAAAGTAAAAAGAAAACGGTAAAAAAACCGTTAGCCAATCAGAGCGTGATATCTGTCATAGCCGCCACGTAGCAAGCCACGTCACCCCTGTGAGGGCCAAATGATTAGGGGATTTTTTCCCGCCACGTGGACCACACAAGCTCTGCCTCGTGTCATCCACGTGGACCAACCGTAGTCCGCCACATGTCACCTCGCGAGAGGTTCAAGGTGAACCAGTCAAGCCACGACACGTGGCAGACAGGTAGCGAACCAAGAAACTGGCCTCTAACGACCCAAATTCCTAGGTTTACTGAAACCTAGTACTCGGCTTGTTTTTCAACACCCTATAAAAGGGAGATGTTTCCCCCTCGGGAACACACAATTAATTCACATTCACATTAACTCACAATTAGAGAAAGTCAGACACTTGACACCTCAAACTGAGGAATTACACATTGCAGATACTCTCTTGGAATCCAAGAGAGACCTTTACTTTTTGCACTTTTACTCCTCATACACATTCTAACTTGATCATCAGAGGTGGAACTCCCACCCACAGGAATCTCCGTTGTTTTGCAGGTACATGCGTCCAGAGGTCAGTCTTCGTATTGTGACTCTCTCGTAGGACACTCAAAAAATCCCGAAACACTCACTAGTAGAAAAAACTAAATAGGCACCCCCCCAATTACACCGGTTCTTGAAAACCGATACAAAAATAAACGGTCGGGACCAAAAAATTAAGAGTTGGCACCGGTTCTAACCAAAACCGGTGCCAAGCATTTAATTAGCATTGGTTCAAACCGGTGCCAACTTGTGAAATTAAAAAAAAAAGATGGGGAAAAAGTTGGCACCGGTTCTCC